AGTCACCTTACAAGTCAGAGGAAGTATTAAAAAAATATTTGAGATTTGAGTTGTATCGTATTCGTATTTATTGCTGAACTGAAATGTCATTAAGTCAATATCATAGTATAGGCCTTAGGTTCAATACATTTCCTCGACTGGTTAATGTCGAATTATATGCATGCAGGTACCTATATAGTTACTAAATATATGCATACAATATCGTGTAGGTATTGTTTTAATTAAATCATTAGATCAAAAATAAAAATGATTGTGAAATAAAAAGTTTTTAAGTTGATCAAATAAATATTATTGTACAGATATGTTGTACAATATTATTCTTTATTATGATTATTATGCAATTTAACAATCTGTATACAATAATAATTATTAACTCATGTTAAAATTTTATTATAATAAATAAAAAATGTGTAATACATTTTATAATATGGAAACTCATTACCTCAAATCTTCTATTGTTGCTTATAGTTTTGGTTTTATCTTGATGCCTGATGGTCTAAATTTTATAGTAAATTTGGGCGAGTTGGTCAACTGTATGAACTTCCAAATCTATATGACTGCATGTAAGGATGCATTTTCGACATAATATTATAGTGTTGCAGTAATCGCAGACATAGACAGACCGATGAAAATACTTAAATTCTGTACATTCACAGAAGTATAGTGATGATAAAGACATATAATAATATTATACTTGCTTTTTTTTTGTAGTATTTATCAATTTGGGGTTTTATAAAATACAGCTGAATTCGCAACTAAGTTTGGCTTAAAGAAAAAAAAAAATCTTCGGTGTGAAAATCAAACGATGCACGAAGTTGTAGTGAAAAAATTGTATAGGATGTCGGTACAAGTAATTTTTTTTTTAAATATTCAGGGCCTATTCTCGAAAAGTTTTAAAATAGATTTTTCCATAAAAAAATCCATTGTAATCTCTAGTCGATCTCCGGTCGGACAAGTTTATAACACCAAACGTATATGTTTGGTTTACGCAATAGTATAGAGTAAAGTTTAATTTTGTGACGTCACATATTTTCTATTATTTTCTACAAAAGAAAATTGTTAAGCTTTCATTTGATGTAACACGTGTTGACTAAATTTACTTTTGAAATTATTTATCGGCGTTACATAATAGTGAAACAATAGTGATAGCAAAACGAGGAGTTGAGCTAATAATGGCATTGTCAATGTGAATTTTCAAACTTTTCGTCCGAACTAACATTTGGAACTAGAAATGTATTTTTTCTGTTCGTGCAAAGATTCGATTTCAGGCGGTTGGTTAAAAAATAAGTGGCGGTTTTATGCGGTATACATATAATATGGTATACAACAGCTCCAATAGGTAGTTTAAAATCGCGAATCGAAAAAAATTGTCCCGCAAGACTTAAGTTTAAAAAAACTGACAGACGGTACAGACAAATTGCATTCGATATTATTATCGAAGTATTATTATTTTTTTCTTTTTATCTACACCAGTGTTGTCAATATGTCAACTATACCGTGGTACGCCGCCGTATCTTTTCGAATCAATCACATTCACTTTATTTTCAAAGAAAAATATTATTTTAAAATCACTTGTAATAAAACCTTATACACGTATAACTCGTGACCTATATAATAGCTGTTTCTCATGGAGTGTATAGCTTATTCGGTTTGGAAACAATCCGTCTGTCAAAAATTTTGTCGAAATGTCAGATCAATTTTTTTCCGAAACAAAACTCAAGACCTAAACCATGGAACTGTTAAATTTTGATATGTCATGTTTCGTCTACAGCTGCAGGTTACACTTCCACACGAATACTTCGTATTTTTAGGTATTTCCGTAATATTGATATCGCTGATTCCAACGTGCAAATGTTTTCTTTTTTATTATTTAATGATTCGCAGTCAGCCCACATCCGGTTGCATATATTATGTATGTAATTCTTTCACAGGAAATCGAAAAACACGTATTAATTTAATTAGTATATATTTTAATTACAGAGTTACGACCATTGATAAATGACACTGCGTAGTTATATACAGGAACGCCTCGTCACCTCACAGGTTTTCATTGTTCTATATATTATAATAATTGTTGTACAATGTTTGAATAATTAATTCTTATGTAACAACAACCATTTTGGTGCGTACACTATGTTTATTGCAGAAATATCGTGTCAGAATTATGGAAAAAGAAATATTTATTAGAACTCAACAATCAGATTGAAATACATAATATAAAAGAAAAATATTGATAAATGTTATCGAAAAAATAAATAAATATATAATGAGATTAAAATTTTGATATTTTGATAAAAGTATAAATGTCATATCGAAATCGGTATTTAAAATTAAATGTTATTTTACGTCAAGACAGCTGTGTATCGATTTTCCATTCCCTTGCATAAATTGCAATTTAATGTTCTTTTTTGAGATTTCACAGCATCAGAATCAAATCAGGAAGCTTTTTATGAAAAAAAAAAAAAAACAAAATATAAGTAGCGATAAAATCTCATCTTTCATAAATAAAAAAATAATGTTCTTATACCTAAACAATAAACGCTGTTTACAGTGATATTTATTAGGCACGAGAGACTGTAATACATAAATATTGTAATAATTCTTATTGCTTATATATACACACAATACAGATATTTTATAATGTATAGTAATTATTACTAATTACTAATTAGTAATATATATTTATTTGTAAAATTTATATTTTATATTATCTATAATTCGTAAGGTTATAAGAAAGCATGTTATTTGCAAACATAATAATAATATTATATTAACATGTATAGTTGTAGTACTTAAAGGAGCCTAAGTTGGTTATTATTTATAGTATCAAGACGAAAGCTTTTGTCTTGTGGATTGTAGACGTAGACCATATAATATGTATATAAAGGTTGTAACAGATAGAACTGACTTTTGGAATAACTTATGTTCTAATCAATATTTAAAATTGTATTTTATAAGAACAATTTTGATGGTAAAAAGTAAAAACATTTATCCAAGTCAAGTAGTTTATTTTTTATAATTTTTTTAAATATCAATATTTTTTCGATTAAATGAATTTGGAACGTATTAACTTTTTTCAAAATGTTTTTTTGGGGAATTTACTGACATGAGCTAAATTATTTACTAACCATAAAATTTTAACAATTTTTGTCATACGTTTAAGTAGAATAATTTTTTTTTTCGGCAAGTATTTCTATTACACCATGTATATAGATTAATTATTGTGCTGGTCAATATTTATGATTTTGAAAATGTAAATTTTTAAAGCTTGAATAATTTTTATAACACTATATTTTTGCAAGACATCTAACATTTAATACTATTTGAATCGATTCTATAAGGTACTTTTCGAAAAAGGTAACTATTATAATGATTATAATATTTAATATTTGAAATACTTCACTAAAATATACAGTTAAAATAATATTAGTTATTACTATGAACAATAGTATACTAACTATTAATATACTATATTACTATATATAGTATCCCTACATTATGTACATGATTGGAGAATAGTTAAAATTAATATCATAATCAAAGCTACATTATAACTAAATACATTTCGTAAGTATTCGGTTTAATATACAGGGTATATAATCGGCCACACAATAACCACCGTTCTGTGGAATTTGGGACCGAAAATTGAATAAATAATGAACAAATTCCAAACTATATACGGATATGAGTATATGACACATGGAAGTAAATATTATACATTCACGAATGGACAAATATATATAAATTCGATTGCTCTAGTCTCCAATGCGGCTAAAAGGTGTTTTTTTTTTTTTGTTGCTTTTATCGTGTAGTAAACTTCCCTAAAATCATTCTACTGCTGAATTACTAATGACACGAAAAGTCCCCTAAGTAAAATCTGCTACTGAATTACTCATATGCAAATTTCCCAAACCCAAAATAAAAGACCGTGAGGTATAAGGTCGTTCACATATATATGCATAGAACCCGATACCGCTTAGAAGAGATTGCGGGTCCATATTTCCCACGCAAAAATAGAACTGTTTCACATAAATTTGCCTAAATCAATGCAGCACGGTGATATAATTCTGCATAAACTAAAAGCTGTACAGAGCGAAGCAAGAGGTTAAGCAGAAGAAGTTTTTTAGTTGTCGTGGAAATTAAAAATCCGGCACACTCGCCGGTAAATATAAATCTCAGTTTTTGTCACCGATATTGCTTATTGTTACGCCGATCGGAAAACTACTGTTGTAGCGATTCGTTGTGGAAAACCAAGCCTGCGGATAGAAAACACATAAAAAGTACAATATTTTTGGAATTTTTGCAAAATTCCAATATCGAAACGATGGAAAATGGAGAATTCTCATGGTATTGTGCGTATTATTATTTATAGCCGTATAACATAACCGCCAGCCACGTCATATATATAACTTGGATTTTTTTCCATGTCGAAAAATCGTACAGTGTATAACATACCTTCCCGACAAAGTCCCCGACACCTTGAGAAGCTCTCAAGAACTCGGAGTAGACGACATAATATTAAATCATGACTACCCAAGTACCCACCTACATTATGATATTGTCACCTGTCGATTCACGCGGGTAGATCAATTTAATCACTAAAATCGCTTTCACATCTACGTTGCGCGCGTGTGTCGTGTCGATCAAATCGCATATTGTGATTGGACGTTACTCTTTTGGTATCACGTAATGACCAAGTCGCAACCGAGTACACCGCGGTAATATTAGACTACAGCTCAACTTTTAAACCAATGTGGTTACTATAGTTTGAACAGTATAGTTACCACGCTATCGCGAGACAGGACACAAGACGCGTGTGTAGCTGTGAATCCAGCTTAGGTCACACATTGACAAAATATGGGTGCAGGTGACCACAACCACTGTCACATAAAATGTACCATACAGGTGGTTATAGCCGCAGAACCGTCGTCCACATCATAATGACGTATAACAAAATGTATAATATACCTATTTATGTGACGCGTCATCATCGTCGTAAATCATTGGCCTGGTTTGGACTTGCTGAAGTTCACCAGGACGCCTTTTATCGTGCAACCCGTACCTTGGTGGTCGGCCAACACCCGGTCGACGGACTCGGTACGATCGAAGCAGATGCGTGCCGAATGGTAAGGGTAGACGGAACCGGAAGTCCAGCTGTAGCCGCCCGGAAACACGCGGACCCACTGCACTTTGCCGTAACGGCTGAACGCCGAGTAAAGTTGGTCGGCCGTGACCGACTTGTCCAGTCGGTCGACGCGCAGCAGATTTGTCGGACGGGAATCGTCGTCGTCGTCGGGTACGACCGAGGCCTGTGTCGACGGTTGGTGTTCGAACATCGGTTCCTCCAGGAACGCCTTCACCTTGTTCCGGTAGGCCAAGTACTGCTCGCGGATCGACTCCCGATCGTCCGCGTCACAAGCGCCTTCCTCCGACATTTCCAGTTCGTCGTCGTCCGTAGACTGCTCCGCGAGATTCGGTGGCGACCACAGTTCGAATTCTCGAGCTTGGTTGAAAAAAAAAATTTAAAAGTTAAAACAACAGTTCGTATAGGAATCACAAAAATCAGAAATCTATCGTTTTTGTAAAAACTGTAAAACGCATAAACACGTTCGATTCGTATAATTGTATGCACTATAACATTATTAAAGTATACATTCGATTTGTAGATTGATGTGTTGATGTATCACTGAAGCGGGAAAATTATCGAAAAAACGTTCTCTTTAGCACTTTCTTCAAAAGGTAGAAAACTAGAATAGACTTCTTTTAAAGTCTCTTTAAAAATTGAATCAAAATAGATTTAAAATAGTGTATGATACCCACACACGACACTTGTGTAAAACTTAATAATGACAATAATAACAATTGAATATTATGTAATAAGTTGTTATTCGTAATTTAGATAGTCTTAATTTCCCAAACACATTTAAATATAATATATTTAAAAAATAATAAATATACCTAAGATATAACTCATTTAAAGTAACAAAAACAATTTTTTATGTAGACCTTTACCTTCTGCATTCAAACGTTTCGTGTAGCCTGCATATGTCTCCTGTTTAAATTGTCCACTTATTGGTGTTTTGTAATTGTTATCTCCGCTTTCAGAATTAGAAAAGCCTGTAAAATCAAAAAGTTCTTCAACAATAGGTACAATTTAATTTGTGATTCCAGATTTAAGTATAAGTTGGTTAATTGTATAGTTTTAGTTTTTGCTTATATGTTTTATATCAACAAAAAAAATATATATATAAATGTGAAATCGAGTTTTGATGGTGACGGCCATCCTCAGAAACATTATATTGGACCAATTTCAATAAAAGTTATATAAATAGGTTCCTCGAGACTTGGAAGGTGCATTTAGCTTCTTATTTCAACCCCTATACTCTATGGGTTGACCGGGGTTGACGTGTGAATTTTGTTTTGGTTCACAATTTATAGGTATTAATTACACTATCAATAAGTCTATAATAACCTGTTAAAACAAATAACAATAATAGGTAATAACATTTTAAATAAAGTACAATTTCCGGGGGGGGGCTTGTTAGGGAGGCTAAGCCCTTTTAAGTCCCACTCTGATGTCCTCATAATATTTCTCAACGAGAAACCCTCATTTACCACACTCTCCTTGACGGCATAAAGAAATCTCCGAATTTAAATGCGATGCTTCAATTGATAACGCAAACAATGGTCGTGTTGCTAAAACTGGTAATATGAATACAATTTGTTAGTACTGCCAGGAAATAAAATGACCTTATGAAGCATCCGGGCTTTGATGTGTTGTATTGGACGAAATTGCTGAGCCTTCAGAACCATTGAAAAGTCGACTCGTCGGTGGCCACTCATCATCATTTAAAAGTAGTTGTTCTCGGCAATATTATAGTATAATTCTGATTTTAAAATGGCGTCATATAGTGTAACGGAGATAAGACACGGACACTTTATGCCTACGTTCAAAGTTCAAGGTCAGCACTCATGAAGAACAAAAATGTTTACAAATATATTTTATTAAAATCAAAATATACTCACGAACACAATATTACAATAATTACTCTTATGATTTGAAACTTCTTAATTTATTCTGGACATATTTTTTATGTCAACACATAAAGTCGACTACGAAACTCAACGATATTGGTTTTACGTCGGAATTCAAACATTCGTTAAATCAGTCTCCAGTTTTTTGTTATGTCCCAAAATTAAGATGTGGCAAATCATAAAAGAAATCATCTTAATTGTGTTCAAACGGGTTTGTATTACCTACATATTTCAAGTGAAGCAACGACAGAAATAAAGATTACCTAATTTTAACCAAGGCGGAGTCGGGTGATCCTGTCATAGTGTATTATAAATCTTGAAAAATAAATCAAATAAACAATTACAATATTATAAATTAGTATTTCTATTCAGGCTGAAGTAGACCTATATTTTGTTGTAATAAATTATAATCATCACTTCGGGTTGTCATTAATAATAATATATTACATTTATTCCAAACACTAACTGGAAGGTTATGTAAAATAATTATTCGATTGAATTTTTTATGATTCATACAGAATCACTAAAAACTGAGACTCGGTCCGAGGAAAAAAAATGTCCAAAAAGTCTAATGTAATTTCTTACAGGTAAAAATGATTGATATGTTAACTTGGCTCACGTACAAAAAAAAAAATCCCGACCCTCTCATATCTAATTAGTAATCACTATAATATTACCTTATCACAAATTTAAGAAGCAATAACTTGAGGACCACAAGATGAGGGGATTCTCATTATCCTCCAAAATTGTTGTAGTTTTATTTTAATTTTCATATTGTTAAAAAGTATAAAAAATTAGAAATATCAATGATTTTTTTGGTTTTTTGAATTTTGAAATTTATTTTAATATAGATTTTGGTTTGTTTTTTTTCTTTCAATTTGCTATGACGGAATATACATTTGGGTAAATATAATATTAAAACTTGATTTATTCAATTCAATTTAATAAATGCGTTATTTTCCAATTAATAGTCGTTTTGTCTTTATTATATTTTATCGGTAAAAATTATCGGGCTGACTTTACAATCGCCCTTTTTACTACCTGAAATTTCCGGGTCGAGTTTACAGCAAATAAAGGTAATTGCGAGCCGAGTCTATTTTTATTTTATTTTTTTGGTAGAATAAAAAGACAAATGTTGGCATCCCCTGGTCTAATCGTTCGTATCGGTAATACTATAGACATCACTACATCAGATAATGACATAGATATCATGGGTATTTATAAAAAATAAAATTGCCAGAAATATTATGCAACTTATCAAACAAATGCTTATAATTATTTTAAGATTTTAATAGTTTACGATACGTTAAATTAATGTTTAAATATGAACAAACTAATAATCTTATATAATAAAACGCTAATAACGCGTATAAGATCCGCGGGGAGCGCTCACGGCACTCCGCGTTTCTTCCATGACGACCAATCACAATACTTCCCGCGCGTTCGCTATAAATTCCGCTCGCTTATCTCCCATTTCCTTATCGATCCTAATATTTTCGAACATTATTATTATTATTAAAAAAAACCCGTGTTTTTCAATTTTTTGACGTGATAATAAGTAATAACGTCTTATAAATCGATTACCCCGCGACCGTCGGGCGGAGTGGGGGGACCCATTAAACGAGTAATTATTTTTGACGAAGTATAACTTAGCCGGTATTCGACTTAGAGACCAATGGGCATCTCAATTTTTTAGGCCCCAGATGAATTTTCAACATTAGGGAACCAAAGCCCCCACCCCCCCCCCACATTTTGAGTTGAGTATAACTCGGCCGGAATTCAAGTTAAAGACCTCGGACCAAGGGGGAACCCATTCTTTTTATGAATACTACCGTTTTCCGCTTTAGGGAACGGGGGCACCTCCTCCCCCCCTTTTTGGATTTTGCTTTTTTGATGGATTTTGGTCCGGGAGGGTACTAACACCCACCTCGCCAAGGGGAAACTCGGGGTTTTGAGTTTTTGATAGGATTTATTGGGATTTTCTTAAATATTGTTTTTATTGATAAGGAAAGTGATAAGAATTTTATTTTATCGCCGCGAGCACGCGACGCGGCTTAAGAGTCATATATTTGCCTCGGAATTTCATCTGAGTAGGTGGCTAGGTTGGTTAGGCGTTAGGATAGGTGACTCGAGGGTCGTGGGTTCGAAACCGCCTCTGGGATTATCGATTATTTGCGGCGGCCGTACTAAATCGAATTTCTTATTTTCGTCACATTTTTTTTTTTTTGGCAAAAAAATATTAATATATATTAAAGTAGATATTTTAAATTGTAACTAAATTGTATAATGATACTGTACTATTTTATAAATAATAATAATAATACTTGATTTTACCGTGACCAACGCACCTATATGTTTCTTATATAAATACAATATAATATAACTAACCTACATGTAGTACCTACTTGATATATTACAGTTTTTAGGTTAAATACTGTTTAATACGGTATTAATAAACTAATAGATCTAATAGAACTGATTAAACTCTGGCAGTTAAATAGTACGACTATATGACTGCTCTTTTTGCCGTTTTTTTTGAAAATTATAGTTTTAGCCCCTTTCGGTCATATCACCCTCCCCGTCGACTACTTATTCGCGTTCCCTGCTATATTTATAGCCACAGACGAGTCCCGGGGTGGAGTAGTGTGTCGGAAACGAGAGTAGGTACCGTGTAGGTATCGCTATATACAGGCATATATACGCATGTATATACATGCGCCTCGAGGTTCGATTTTTTTCGCAAATCTCGCGTCTTGAACGTCCGAAGGTGGCGGACATGGTGGTCCGCTCAAACGCCCTTAAGAGTCATAGATTTGGCTCCTTTGCCAAACCTTTTTTTGGCAAAAAAATATTAATATATATTAAAGTAGATATTTTAAATTGTAACTAAATTGTATAATGATACTGTACTATTTTATAAATAATAATAATAATACTTGATTTTACCGTGACCAACGCACCTATATGTTTCTTATATAAATACAATATAATATAACTAACCTACATGTAGTACCTACTTGATATATTACAGTTTTTAGGTTAAATACTGTTTAATACGGTATTAATAAACTAATAGATCTAATAGAACTGATTAAACTCTGGCAGTTAAATAGTACGACTATATGACTGCTCTTTTTGCCGTTTTTTTTGAAAATTATAGTTTTAGCCCCTTTCGGTCATATCACCCTCCCCGTCGACTACTTATTCGCGTTCCCTGCTATATTTATAGCCACAGACGAGTCCCGGGGTGGAGTAGTGTGTCGGAAACGAGAGTAGGTACCGTGTAGGTATCGCTATATACAGGCATATAATATACGCATGTATATACATGCGCCTCGAGGTTCGATTTTTTTCGCAAATCTCGCGTTTTGAACGTCCGAAGGTGGCGGACACGGTGGTC